ATACAGGAAAAAATTGGGTATCAACACCGCGTCTCCGCATCTAATAAAGATTTGCTGACATAATAGATCGGAGATTGTTTACCTTGGTCCTCACGGACTAAAACAGCACTTACCGCCACTTCTGAGACAATAAGGTAGATGAGAAATCTTTCCCCAGCCTTTGGTTTTGCGAGCAATGGTGGATTTGATAAGTATGTCTTCAAATTTTTGAGTGCCTGCTGACATTCCTCGTTCCATTCGAAATGATCTTGCTTTTTAAGAGCTGAAAAGAATTTAAAGCACTTTTCTGATGATTTAGAAATGAATCTTCCCAAGGCTGTAATTCTTCCTGTCATCCTCTGCACTTCTTTTTTACTTGAAAGCATGTCAGAGATTTCTTCAATGGCCTTAATCTGTACGAGATTCACTTCAATACCACGGTTAGAAACAAGAAAATCCAAAAACTTACCTGATGCAACATCAAATGCACATTTCTCCGGATTTAATTTCATATTAAATTTGCACAAAATCTGAAATGTATCAGATAAGTGTGATATATGATCTCTTTAATGCTGAGTTTTAACGAACATATCGTCTATATAAACCTCCATGGTGTTTCCTAGATATTCTTGAAACATTTTAGTCACTAGCCTTTGATATGTTGCACCAGCATTTTTGAGACCAAAAGACATTACTTTATAACAGTAAGTCCCCATGTTTGTTATGAACAAAGATTTTTCCTCATCTACCGGATCCATTTTGATCTGATTGTATCTTGAATACGCATCTAAAAAACTTAATAATTCATGTCCTGCAGTAGCATCAATTAGTTGATCTATATGTGGTAGTGTAAAAGAATCTTTAGGACAGACTTTGTTAAGGTCTGTGTAATTTACACAAACTCTCCACTTACCATTCTTCTTTGGTACTACGACAGTATTGGCTAACCAATTAGGATACTTTACCTCACGGATAGACCCAATCTTTAGTAATTTTTGAACCTCTTCTTGAATCACCTGATTTTTGAAAGTTCCTTGCTTTCTCTCCTTTTGCTTGACAGGAGGGTACGACGAGTCTTCATTTAATTTGTGAGTCATTACCTCCGGTGGTATTCCTGTCATATCAGAATGGGACCAAGCAAAACAATCCACGTTAGTTTTCAAAAATTCAATTAACTTACTTTTCATGTCTAGGCTTAGATTGGCCCCTACGTAGACTTTCTTTTCTGGTCATTGTGCAAATAACACTTCCAATTTTTCAATTGTTGTTTTGATATTTTCGTTTTCCTCTGGTTCTTGAATGGTATCAAGCCTTGAGTCCACATCTGTCCGTCCTTGTTCAGTTGAGGTTTGTGTTGTGGTGCCCTCAACTGGATTCTATGATTGCTATTTTTCTTCGTTTTTCGTACTTGAATTTGCTACAGAGTTGATATTCCTAGATGTATGTTGATCCCCACGGATTTGACATATTCCCCATGGTGATGAAAATTTAATAACTTGATGCAAGGTTGAAGGAACGACATCCATTTCGTGGATCCATGGTCTCCCAAGGATCATATTGTAAGTCATCTCCATATCTACTACCTGAAACTTTGTATCTTTGACAACTCCTTCTGCGAATGTAGTGAGTATTACCTCTCCTTTCGTCACAACACTAGAATTGTCAAATCCAGATAAAGTATGCGCCTTTGTTATTAATTTATCTTCAGTTTGCATCTCACGTAATACTTTTAGCAAGATAATATTCACGGAACTACCTGGATCAATCAAAACTCGTTTCACATTAGTATCATGTACAAATAGAGATATTACCAGTGCATCGTTATGAGGAGATAGTATGCCATCCACACCTGCATCATCAAATGTAATGTTGTCTTCCTCTAAGACATGTCGCACCCATTTCCCTTGGGTAATTGTGACTTTGGAAATTTTATTAGCTGCAGTGTACGTCACACCATTGATGTCTTCACCCCCGCTTATAACATTGACGGTCCTTTTGGGAGAAGGTGGTTTAAGGGGCTCCTGTCTATTCTTCATGTAAGCTTGCTTACCTTTCTCATTGAATAATTCGGTGAGATAACCCTGTTTTAATAGATGATCAACTTCACTTTGTAAAAACCTACAGTCTGCCATTTTATGCCCGTGATCGTTATGAAATTCGCACCAATGATCAAGATTGCGCCTGTTTGGATTCGATCTCATCTCTTTTGGCCATCGTACCTTGTCACCCATGCTTCTCAAAATAGCTACGAGTTCGGACATACTAGTGTAGAATGCTTGGACATACATATATATACTCGTGACTCATGAGTGTTTCGATCATTCCTAAATCTTGATAACGAGCCCGACTCTCTATTCCTCGATCTGTGATCGTACCTCTGACTGTCCTGTTTTGACCGTGAGTCTTTTCCCGCAGGTCCCATGTATGGTTCAACCTGTTTTTACCGGACCTTTTTTCGGTTTCCGCCCGTCTCGAACTTATCTTTTCTTCTTTTTGAAATAGTGAAACAATATCTTCTTCTATATATCCTTAGCTTCGTTTTATACCTGTTGCAAACGTCATTCCATGTTATAGCTGGGAATTCACGAAGACTTTCCTTGAGTCGCCTCGTAGCTTCTGAGCTCTTTTCATTCAAATTACTTGTGAAGGCTATAGCTACCCAATTATCAGGTACACGTGGTAATGCCATTCTTTCACGTTGAAATCTATCCACAAACTCTCTAAGCAATTCTGAGTCCCCTTGCTTTGAAAATATCTTCCATTATTTTTTCGACTTTTTGAGCTCCCGAGTGTGCTTTGATGAAAGAATCTGCAAGCTCAGCAAAATAATTTATAAAATTTTCGGGTAAAAGATAATACCATGTTAATGCACCCTTAGTGAGTGTTTCACCGAATTTTTTGACCAATACTGATTCAATCTCCTGCTTGGTCAAGTCGTTGCCTTTTACGCCTGTTGTGAATGCAGTCGCGTAGTCTCGTGGGTCTGTTGTTCCATCGTATTTTGGAATATCCAGCATTTTGAATTTCTTTGGAATTGGGAGGGGAGCAACACTTGGCTTCCAGGGTTGTTGCGAATATTTGTCCGTATCTATCCCTTTGATTACGGTTGACACCCCGGGTATTTGCTCTATGCGGTCACTTTGCTCCTTGAGCTGTTTCTGCAATGTTAGTACTAAATTTTGTAGATCAGAATTAACTAAGTTACCTGGTACTCCTCCTTGTGATTCGCTGGGGGTTCCACCACTTCATAAATTAACAAGCCCAGAATGAGGATTCTCCAAAGTGTTGTTACTTGGAGTGGGTGTGAGTGATGCAACAGGTAATTGACTAGCAAAAGCTTCAAGAGCTTTATTGACCTGTGCAGTAATTAACTTTTGCAAAGCTTCATCGATAGCTTCAACATTTTCAAATTGAGCGTTTCCATTTGCATGAGATCCATCAGGAGTACCTTCTCGAGACCGTCGAGGAGAACTTTGTGGAGAAGGGTCCGAGTTGTGATTATCATTTAGATTTCCCTGAAGTTGTTGGTTTCCTTCGTTTCCTTGAATGTTGTCATTATTGTTTGACATGGTTGATGCAACAAAGAAAGTTAAGCTAAAAAGAATAGATTATCAGATTCCCGGTAATGGAACCAATTTGTTTAACCAAAAAGTGGTATTTCGGTCAAAGCGATAATTTAGAAGAACTCGGGTTACAGATAATCAAAGAATGAATAAAGAAAAATGATTTTGCCAATAATAAGATAATCAGAAAAACAAAGTAAACCAGTGTATTCAGATAGTATCTCGTGTCCTTACAATTGATCCATTCTCTTCTTTTTATAGTTATTTTGGAGATATGCGTTTTGCCTTTGTCATAATAAGGCCATTATAGACAATTAAAGACATTAAATGCTACGTTACATAATCATTGCATTTAATACAGATTCTCTAACGTTTTTAGTATTTAAGGCTCATTAAATACTGTATCTGTACTCCTTTGTACTGTCAGATTCATTCTCCTTGATTCTTGAACTTAAATAGGTACGGGCGCTGAGTCTTTTGAATAACTGCTCGTGCCTCTTCCTATGCCTCTGCTCGTATCTGTTGCAACTCGTGCCTCTTTGCCAATCATAACTCTTTGACCAGTCTACGTGTTATGACACGTCATCTTTATACCACTTTAATATGTAAACTCAATTTTTCCCAATACAAAACTATCGAGCAAAATGCAAATGCTCAAAACGACCGTTAGGGTCGTTACACTAATATTTATTAAGTTAATATGTTATATTAGATCATAATTATAAGATTAATATTCTGTCAAATTATCCGCGCATCGCGTGGGTTCTTATACAAGTAAGTATAAATCAAATACATATTTCATAGATCTTTTACAGCTCTAATTAAAGAGATAAATTAATCCACATTAATTTACCATCCTACCCCTTGAAATAGTGTAAGGAAAAGTACTACTCCCTCATGTCCACAATAAGTGATTTTTTGGCTTATTTTTGTGGTCCGAAATAAGTGATTTTTTCAGATTTTAAGAATGAATTAATTATTTTTTTCCTATATTTTCCTTGGAGTAAATAGGTCGGAGTATGTGTTAGAAGTGTTTATGTGAATAGATACTAAAGGTTAATATAGCCAATTTTATTATTAATTAATGTTAAAAAATAAATTTTTAATATGTGTGAAAATAACAAATAAATCACCTATACATCAAATGAAATGAAACCATACTAATTAAGCAATGTTCGTTACAAGTCGAAATTACTTTGCAAATAGGAATTTGTATGCCGATCTTCATCTAAAATAAAGTTCCATTATATCCCAATCTTCATAGAGTTTTATTATTGCCAATAGGAATTATTCTAGGTTTCCTCATATTTAAGTGAGGAGTTTGTATTGTATGTGGGTTGGAAAATTACTTGTACAATAATTTTCGGTTTGTGCATTTTCTTGGCCAGTAAGAAAAATTTCTTTTAAATCATCAAACATCAAACTTTGTAGGGTTTTAGCTCTAAATCACAATTTGCCATGGCGGAAGAATCAAGCACTAGCAATGCGGCGGCGGCGGAGGCGGGGGCGGCGGCATCATTGGGTCATTCAGTGATACCGATAGTGAACAAACTCCAAGACATATTCGCACAGCTTGGAAGTCAATCCACAATTGAGCTGCCGCAGGTTGCTGTAGTAGGGAGTCAAAGTAGTGGGAAATCAAGTGTGCTTGAGGCGCTCGTAGGTCGCGATTTCTTGCCTAGAGGTTCTGATATATGTACGAGGCGCCCTCTTGTTCTACAACTCCTTCAAACCAAGCCTAATAATCCTAATGATGCTGCTGATGATCAGGAATGGGGAGAGTTCTTGCACCATCCTGGCAAGCGTTTCTTTGATTTCAATGAAATTCGTAGGGAGATTCAGGTATACAAGACTTTTATGTTAGACATAGAATTTAGAGGCAATGAAAATCTTGACTCCATTCCGTTGTATTGAAATTTGAAAGTTTTGATCATGACTCTTTAAACTCTAAAATTATGTGAACTTTTTATTCAGTTTATTAGGTTGTGGTATTGTAGTAAAGGTGGGAGCTTTAGGTTATTGTAGTTATTCTTCTGCTAAATTAACTTTGATATACCACCAAAGTTTGTGGTAGGGTGGTAAGTACCTCTTCATCCTTAAACCACAGGTCTCGGTTTTGTGCCACAGAGTGTTTTACCCGAAGTTGGGACTTTGGGTCTATTCTGGATTAGTCGGGCCCCAAACTCCAAAGTGGACACCTGGTTGAGAAAGGATTTTTTTCTTTTTTGATTAAGTTAAACACAGGGTGCAGATAAGTCTTTACTGATTAGATTGGGTGCTCTGTGGAATGTATGTAATTTTTTTAATTTTCTTAGCATGCATATGGTCCAAGAGGAAAGTAGTTAGTTCCATTGAATATCAAATATTCTAGTCCATGTCCTAAATCCTAACTAGCCTCATACACCGAATTAACCAATATAGTAGGTTATAACTATCAAGAAAGTAACAATGTTTTTTTTTGAATTGGTAACTATTGTATATATTATAAAAATCAGTACATAGGTTGCACTGAAAACCAAATTTACATAGAGAGAATTTGAAGATATTCTAATTTAAAACCTAGCAGGATCCTAGTATGTCTATGATTGTCAATGTATCTTCTGTGTACATCTGTTTGCACCAAAAACAAAATAGAGGAATACAATTGAGTTTGATCTTCTGCAGTGGATTGCTTCTGTCTTCAAAACATCTGGTGTTCCTTTCCCTCCAGACTGTCCACCAAATACAAGCCGGAACAGTCCTCCATCTATCTCTGCTAGTTGCTTCAGCTCCAGCTTCTTCCCAGCTATAAATGACATCTTTAATCCTGTATGGCATTGACCATGAAATACCCCTAAGACTAATAAAGATTTTCCATAGTTGGTCTGTAATCTTGCAATGTAGAAACAAATGGTTGACAGTTTCTGCATTTTCCCCACACAGAAAACATCTTGAACACAGAGATATTCCCCTTTTTATGAGATTATCCTGGGTTAAAACCGCCTCCTTTGCTAGTAGCCAAGTGAAGCAAGCTACCTTGTATGGAATCTTTGTTTTCCATATATGTTTCCAAGGCCATGTGTCTACCTGTTGATTATCATGATTCAAAATCTTATATGCATCCTTCACTCGGTAAACCCCTCTGTTGCGCCTCTTCCACCATATTGAATCCAAACCTTCCTGTAATCCTGTAAATGCTTCCAGCTCTTTGTAGAGGTCAGTTAGTCTTATTATCTCCCAGTCATTCAGTTGTCTTCTTAGAGCTATTTCCCATCCTTGACAACTCCTCATTTCAGCTACTGTCTTATGCTGGTTTTGTGCTAAAACGAACATATCTGGGTATCTTTCCTTTAAGCTTCCAATTCATAACCAGTTGTCATTCCAAAATGATGTGTTCCTTCCGTTGTTCACTCTTATGGATGAGTGATTCTTCATTATTGGCCAAAGTTCTCTGATGGATTTCTACACACTTACTCCACGTGATGTTCTGACTTTTTTTGACACCCAATTGTTTTCTTCACCATACTTTGCTTTGATCACTTTGGACCATAAAGATTGGGGTTCTTTAGAGTACTTCCATAACCATTTAATTCTAAGAGCCTTGCTTTGGTTCTTCAAATTCCTTATCCCCATTCCACCTTGTTTTTTATCCATTGTTAGCGTCTTCCAATTGACTAAATGGAAGACCTTTTTCTCCTTATTGCCTTGCCAAAGGAAAGTTCTTCGGAGTTTGTCCAATCTTTGTAGAACGCCTGCTGGAATTGGGAACAAAGACATCATGTAAGTAGGTAGAGAGTCTAATACTGAGTTGATTAGAACTAGCCTACCCCCCAATGATAGGTACTGCGATTTCCATCTTGACAACTTCTTCTCACACTTTTCTATGACTGAATTCCAGATTTCTTTTGATTTGGATCTTGCACCAAGAGGCATCCCAAGGTAAACAGTTGGTAGGGACCCAAGTTCTCCTCCCAATATCTGAGTCAGTTGCCCCATGTTGTTAACTTCATTAATGGGAAAAATATTGCTCTTTCTCCAGTTAATGTGTAATCCTGATACTCCCTCAAATAAAACCAAAATGATCCTTAAGAATCTAAGTTGGTCTTTTTCAGCATCACAGAAGACTAGAGTATCATCAGCATATTGGAGATGTGTGATCTCTAGATTGTTAGCCCCACTCCTGTTTACCTCAAAGCCTTTAACCCATCCACTGACTTTAGCCTTTTTGATCATGTTGTTTAATCCTTCTATGGCTATGATGAATAGAAAGGGAGATAAAGGATCACCTTGTCTGAGACCTCTGTGTGAATGAAAATAACCTTTAGGACAACCATTTATAAGAATGGAAAATTTCACAGTAGATATACAAAATTTCATCCACCTAATCCATTTTTGCCCAAAACCCATTTGTTCTAACATTCTTAGTAGGAAGCTCCAGTTCACATGATCATAGGCCTTCTCGATATCCAATTTGCATAAGATTCCAGGTTCTTTCTTTTTTATTCTTGAGTCCACAGCTTCATTAGCAATCAACACTGCATCAATTATTTGTCTTCCTTTGATGAACGCCATTTGTTGAGCATCGACAATTTTCCCAACCACCCTCTTAAGTCTTTCAGTTAAGACTTTTGCGAGCAGTTTGTAGAAGCTCCCTATCAGACTGATCGGTCTGAAATCTCTCAATTCTTTCGCACCTGTCTTCTTTGGAATCAAAGCTATATATGTTGCATTGAAGCTTTTCTCAAACATCTCCTGTGAATGGAAGTTGTTAAAAGCCGCCATGATATCTTCCTTCAGAATGTCCCAGCACTTTCTGAAAAAACCCATTGTGTATCCATCTGGCCCTGGAGCCTTGTCACTTGCACACATCTTCAGACTGCTCAACACTTCTTGTTCCTCAAAATTACTCTGTAAAGACTCCCTTTCTGATCTTGCACTATTTTCGAAATTGACTGTTGGTCTCCACTGTTCAGGTTCTGTGTAAAGCTCCTTGTAGAATTCTATGATCTCGTTCTCTATTTTTTCTGGATCCTCGATTACTTCATGTCGAATCATTATTTGGTCAATGCTGTTGTTTCTCTTGCGTGCATTTGCAGTCCGATGGAAAAATTTTGTATTCCTATCCCCTTCTT